TTTTCCCAGTGTTCAAAGTTACAAATTTAGCTCATGTAGTAAACTCTATTCTTAGGATAAGCACTAAGAATATAATCCTCGATCAGGGACACTTGAGCCTGCCACCACGGATGGTCATATCAGAGTAGCATTTGCCACACTTCTCTTTGTTGCTATATTGTCCTGGTGGCACACATTTGCATCGTTCGCTGCATGTCATGCACGCTCATAGGGAATATTTTTATCCGAGAATGCAACTTGCATCGTACTAGGCATAGAGGAATGCACTCTGCCAACATATCAAGCAAACAAATCAGTTTTTAAAAAATTACATCTTATGTAATTCACATAACATAGGAGTGAAATTGTACCTTGTATGTTTCTTGGTGGTTTGACTGGTGGAGGGACTAGTGCCTTGACTGGTGGAGGTGGAGGTGGTGGTGGTGCCTTGAGAGTCGGATTATGGGTTGATTTCTTATAAACTGGTCTTGGTAATGGTATAGTTAAAGCTGCGACCTGTGTTTGCAAGTGCGTGTCGTAGCTCCATTTTGATAGACATTCAAGAACTCAATCTAAAAAAATATTCAAGAAATATAACCTCTATAGGATCTCCTTGTCCCGCACTGATGAAGCCTACAAAAACAAACGATGTTTATGCATAGAACCGAAGTGAAGAATCATGTAAAGTTCCAGCACACGTGCCCAATCTAGTATATCCTATTAGAAAGAGGAAAGGGATAAAGAGAGGGAGCCATACACAGATACACTGTTGGTACTTGGAAGAAAAAGGCCAAAAGGAGCACGTATTTTGGCTGTGCTCTTTAATATTGATTCAAGTACAGAACTCTGGTATATATACAAAGTCCTAAAATCTTGGTGGCCTAATAAAATTCTAGTTTCACAGGATCAATGAAACATAACTCGCGGATGTCTATGCTGAATTGAGATAAGTTTCCAAACCCACATGATACAAGCACAGTCGTTTAAGCTTAGATTTTCTATTTTCATCAGTGTGTGTAACCGAACTAGCAGTCATTGACTCATTGTTACCAATGTGGTGTTTTGTGTTTCTTTCTGGCGTAGAGCAACACATTTCAATGTGATACACAGAAAAGGACTTACGAATGTGAATAAATCATCTAGTCCATGATTGTAACAGGAAAATGAACTGGGTGAAATAGATATCAAAATATTTGTAATGACTCATTTATATTCAATACTATATTCATTATTTGAAACACTGATGGTTCAGGTAATTATACAATAAAAGAATCAATCCAATTATGCTACATCTCAATTCTTGAGTCTTGCCTGTGATCATCACTGATAAAGTCCAGTTCACAATACAACTGGAAATTAATCTTCTTTTTTTACTCGAGTACATGTTCAAAAACATCAAACTTGAATCGAGGAATTCATTACCATTGAGCGCATATCTCAGCTCACTTGCTCCCCAATTAAATCTAAGCCTACCACAAGGAAGGACAACCCCTGAAACAGCAAGTAATAGAAATGAATTCCATGTGCTGATAATAGACTTCTTGTAGCTGCAGTGAGTAGAAGAAATGCAAGTGCAAGTTCCGGTTTGTAAATCCTGTTTTTCTTCTTTACAATAGGGACCTTTTGACTTTGCTCTTTTAACTTGCCGAGCATTTCTAGGCCCGATTCAGAAAGCCGTCTCTGAATTTTCTCTTCGTTCAGTGTTTTTTGTTCCCTCTCAGCAAGGCTTAGCAAGTCTGATTCTGATGCTCTGCCTGTTTTCTTCGTGACTACCCATTCGTAGGCACTTCCTAGCTGAAATAGCCCGGATACCATTGCATTAAATTTGGTCACGGACATTGTGTTCTCGAAGAGCAAATATGGCATCAGAAAGGGGAAAGACTTAGGTGCCGGTAAAATGTTCAGAATGGACATGACAATGGGGACATAACAGATCACCCAAGCCGGTAACTCAGCCTCCGGTATGAACATTGTCAATGGAAGTATGATACAAAATAAAGTAAACGAGTAAAAGGGAAGTATAAGTTTCCTTAGGAGAAAGAAAAGGAATATCAAGTTGGCCTTCTTCCAAACTGATATCTGCAGAAATAGCATCATAGAAGGGATAAATAATTAGTACTACGCAGTCCAAATAAGCAAAAGTTAACGAAAATAAGAAGATATACTTTGGAGGTTATAATGTCTGGGAGGCAAAGTCTGAAGAGCTGCATAGGGCCAGAATGCCATCGATGTTGTTGCTTCTTATATGCTTCATATGACTCTGGTAATTCGCAAAGAACTCTCACATCATTGAGGTAGATAAATTTCCACCCCTTCAAGTGGGCACGAACAGCTATATCCATGTCCTCGACCGTAGTCCTCTCAAGCCAGCCACCTGAATCCTCTAAGGCTTTAATTCTCCAGACCCCGGCTGTTCCATTGAACCCAAAGAAATTGAGGAAAATGCCATTTACTTGCTGCTCGACTTCAAAATGGAAGCAGAGATTGATGTTCTGGAGTCTTGTAAGCAAATTTTCATCCTTATTCACAAAGGACCAGCGAGTCTGGACAAGGCCTAGTTCAGGATTGTTCTGAAACGAGAAACGAGATTCTTAAATCTTTGTCAAACAGTAACTAAGGCGCACAGGTAGTTTTAAATTATTACCTTAAAATGAGGGATTGTCAATTTAAGGAAATCCGGATTTGGTTGGAAGTCTGCATCAAATATGGCAACGAATTCATAGTCTTTGACGTAGTCACAAGCCATTGCTGATTTAAGATTGCCGGCTTTGTACCCTGTTCTGATGAACCGATGTCTGTAGATTATGTTCACCCCTTTCCCTTTCCACGACAAGCACTCATCCCTTATCAAATTCTGTAAAAGTTCATCATCTGAATCATCCAAGACTTGAACTAAAAACCGATCCTTTGGCCAATCAAGCTGGCAAACTGCAGCAATTGATTGTTCGTACACCTGAAATTCCACACAATTTTCATCGAACTAAATTAGGCAAATATGCTTCATAATAAAAAATAATCAATCAATCTTGAGCACAATTATGAATTGCACATGAACTTGAAGAACTGACCATCAAACATATTCAAATCAAAAGGCAATAACATTTTAGCTACTCAATTATCCTATTTCCCATCTGGATAACTCGCAATGGACATTTTTTCACTTTACTGAACATAATTAGACACTACGCCAAAATATTAAAGAATTATAAGTCAAAATATAGTCCACTACGGTCTACTATTGTATATATACCAAATTTGCAGCAAAGGGATCTTCAAAAAAAGATGCATGACATTTTGAATTACCTCTCTTTCATTGCACATTGGAATCTGAACAAGAACCATGGGATAACTCGATCCATCTTCGATGTCATAAGGTTCGCCTTCAGTCGATGGCTTCAACTTCTTGTACTTAATCCAGAAACACCCCAAACATTGCACAAGGCGATCCAGTGATTGAATCATGAAGAGTACAATGCAAGATTTGGAAAGTGTCATTATCAGAGGAGCAATGTAATCAACTCTAAAAGAAAGCCAAGCCATATAAGACCACTGCACAAGATTATTTTGAACCTCCCATGGATTATGAACCAAACTCAAATCCCATTTCTTGAAATAAGCAATGATTTCAATAATCAAAGCTACAATTGAAATAGAAAGAAATGCTTTTATAAACTTGTACATTTTCTTCCCTCTGTATGTGGGCTCTTCTTCCCTCGCACCCGAAGAAGTGGCAATTCGTTTCTTGATCGAACCGAAAATTGTACACAAACTCATTGCCAGCCATGGAATACAAGACACCACCCTGTGTGCTTTGAGAAGAAGAACCCAAGTAAATTGCCTGGGGCTTGCAGCTTTTTGCTTCTCCTGGAAAATTAATCCCCTTTGGGAATCATTTGCTTCAATTAAAGAAACATTCTCAGGCTTCTCAAGTGTAATCACTACAGAATTTGGTGCCATTTTTATGAAATATGAAATGATTAAAGAAAACCCAGATCAAAAAACTTGGAAAAGAAACGAGGGGTTCACAAATTTGTACAATGTCAGGCCATGGCCATCTATTTTACACGACTTTTTTAGTTTATATACTACGCCCTTCAATGAATTCTGGATCTCAACCAGAAAACGAATGGCACTGACTCCACAAATTCAGTTGAAACTGAGCAATGAGATTTCTCTTAAACAAAAATAAAAAAAATTAAATTGATGAAACGTATACAAATAAACATGCATATATATAATCAATCTTTAAAATTTTGATTTCAGATGAGAGCCCAAGTCAAACACAAAAAAGTGTTATCTTTTGAGGATTTTTTTAACATTTTCTTATAAAATAATTCAAAAATAATTCTTGTTTTTTAATCTCTCCCACCTATCGTAAAGGCCAGCTGGCCCCCTGTGATGTACGTCCAGCATGATTGAAAAACGAAAGGGCTTAAAGTTCTTGGGGAAATGCTATGACGTAGCGTTTTTCATAATAGTATTCATAATAGACATTTGGAGGCTCCCTATTGGAGGGTACTTGCGGGCCCAAATCTCCCGACTTCCATGTATCTATTACGAAGATCATTATGTATTGTGTTATGTACCCGTACCTATAGCATAACCCCAATTCTTGAGGCTGCTTGGTGAGCTTCCAAGATGCACCATACTGTCGGTGTCAAGTGATAAACAGTAAATGACAACCAAATTACAGCCAAAATGCAGATATTATTATCATAAGATTTCTGGTCTTGTCTGGTGATCTGGAATCTGTCCATTTCTTGAATTTGACAAAAGGTGATGTGCCCACCCCACCTTATTTCTCCGAGTTATTCTTACTTAACCAATTACTCACAGTTGGATTTTTATTTTTATTTATTTTGCTAGTATTTAGCTTCCAAAAATATGAATAAATTGACCACAACTTAATCATGTTTTTGATGAAGTTCATTGAATGTGTTCTTTTAAATTTTAATGAGAAAAAAAATGAATCTCATCCATTTATAGTCACAAAAGGAAAATGGAGCGAAAATGCAATAGAAGAGACATGGTTGGCATCTTTGTATAGCCACGACCTTGGGAAGCTAAGCTTGATCACAACCAAGGCTAGGCGGGGTTAGCAGCAGCCCTTGATTTGGGACCTTGACGAATATATTTAAAGTTTAAACATTGCTTTCAGTGAGTCGATTTTTGGTTGAATTTTGATAAATTAATAAAATCTTGAAGAATTATTTTTTGACCTTCAGATAACAAACTTTAATTAGTGTGTAAATCACTTTTAGAGGTTGTGTGTTCTTGCTTACGCGTTAGTCTCTGTCACGCGGGCATCAACTTATCGATTGGAGAAATCACAAACTCTACAGATGGAATAAAGATTAAAATGCATTCCTAACATTTTAATGGATTCAAACAGACTAAAGAGAGAGAGAGAGAGAGAGAGTCGATATCCCTAACCTAATTTGTGAGTTGGGATAGACTTTGTCTAGACGTGACATGCAAGGGTAAACTCTCGTACTTGTTCACACGCTGTACTTTACCCTCCAATCATGCCTGTAGTGTAGGATGATTCATCTTATCAATTTTCAACTAAAATTTAGAACGCCATTTTTTGCCTTTTCTTCTTCTACCAAAAAGAAAGATAAGACTGCATAAAAGTTGATCTCCATTCTCGGCTGTAACGTTGAATCAACTCAACCTGTCAAAAATAATCACTGGCCACCTACGAAATGATTACTCTTTTTGTAAGTTTTCTTTATCATTTGATTTTCTTACATTTCTATTTTTTGTCTTCCGCCCTTGATTATACAAAACCGTGTAATTTTAATTTAATGTAGCAATATTTGGTTCCTTTCTGGTTCGGTATACCTGCTATAACGAGTAATTCCCAAGTCAATAAGGACAACTATATTGAGAATTTTTATTTTGTGTCAAATTATATAATAGAAAATGACATAATCTTGTTGAAACTTACATTTCACCCAAAAAAAAAAATGCAAATTATATTGGTCAAATTAGAGGTGGCTAATGCATCGAGTTGATCGAGGATTCGACTCGTTCGAGTCAAGTCAGAACTTGTTTCTGACTGTCCAGGGATTTAGTCGATCACCCTTACGAGCTGGCTCGTTTTGGGTTCTGGCCAAATTTGTTTTATTTTGATTTTTTTATTTTTTAGTAATTTTTTTAGAAAAAATAGTTGGATCGTTGGCTTGTCAATGGCTCGACTGACCCGTGAGGCTCACAGTAGAACCGAGAACAGCTTCCTTTTTTTTTTTTTTGTGCAAATTTAGTCATTTATCCACTACTATCAAGTTAACCAATGTAATGTAACGATTTAGATGTTAAAACTAAGATTTAAAATTGGTGTACACCTTGTTTGACACCTATCTATATGTCAAAAATTTGGACATTGTTTGAAAAAGTGTTATTAAAATTAATGTATAGAATTCTGCCAACTCACATTAGTGTCAATTGAGTGCACTTGATCTAACTCATTTTCTGCACACAAGGTGCTAAATGGAAACAATAATTTTGTACATAATCTTAAAAATCGATAGATTTTTCGAGTGATTTCGATTTCTTTTTGCATTTTGGTTGTGGGGTAGAGTTCCCAACTACAAAAGAAACAGTACAGAAATTCATATGATAAAGACGACGAAAAATCACACGTTGCTTGTCACAAGAAACCTGCAATGCATTATGTTTTGAATTGAATCTAATTTGGTAGATGGATGATTCCTACAATGTTTGACCATTTTCGCTTAGTTCACGCCATGATTGAATCCTGTGTGCATCGCACCAGCTAAATCAAAATTTATATTTCAAAGCCCTTAATTACTTTTGAACCACTTGATATTAAACTAAGCACTATATTAATGTCATTTTAAGTGTAATTCCAATTAATTAATTTAATTAACGTAGTTGACCATCAAAATATTAATATTTATTTCTTGGGATTAGCATATTAGAATGATGATCCAAGTACCAATCGAACCGAAAAATGAAAATTCAAGCACTATCGTCTCAACCTTAAGCTATATAATTATATTTCAATGTAACTGATATATTCTAAAGTAACATACGACGATACATCTTTAAATCAATTTCTTAAAATTTTCATATCTTAGAGAGCTTGTATGTTGAAAATGATGCCATGTTTCATTGTAATCGTCTCCATCTACATATCAGTTTCTCAACCACTCTGCATATTTTATTTGACCATTGTAAATTCTCGAATTAGATAAAAACATATATACAAAAACCAGTCATTTTCACACACATATATATATAAAACAGAGGGGGCTTGGGATTTATGGGGCTAAATGGTGATGCACCCTAGCCACCTAGCAATGGTTATTGACATTTCTTAGAATGTGGCCTTAGTGCCCCCATGTGATGAGCTACCTGTGCAAAATAATTTATTATTATTATTTTGTGCATTTTCAGAATTAATTAATTATTTTTATTATTTAATTAGACAATACATACAATGCTCCACGTGCAAGTGCTTTACGAGTTTATTCTAGTGATTAGTTAGTTGGTACAATCTAGCTAATCCCACCTCTTAAAAGTTAGGTATAGTAAATTAGATCCTTCTCAAATATGGTCGTGCCTATGTTGAAGCAATTGCACGATCATAGGAAAAAAAATGTATTTTAAATAGTGATACGATGGGTATGTGATTAAAAAGTTAAAAAAAAAAGTTATTTATCTGTACCAAACAGAGGCATAGTCTAGACAGTCAACTATACGCAGATGTCAACAAAAACCCTCATGGCTTTTGCTCGAAGATGGCCGGTTACAGCTTTAAAGACAAAATGAAAAATTTCACATCAAACTAGGTACGTAAAGCAGACAAGCCATGCATGTAGAGTAAAACTTCAACCACAAAGATGTGAAAACATAAGAGCTATGATCTATAAAGATGGCTTCATCAGAAGAAATTTTGCCCTACATAGTATATTAACCATAGCATATAAGTTGGACATTTAATTAATGATGGACAAGAAACACCGAGTCGAAACAGAACAAGAATGTGGCTCTGCCTATGTAGTTGAGATGTCCAAATCCTTAGCAGCGCTAAAAGACATCTGGTTATGTATGTTTGAATCATGCATAACCATGGTTGCCAACTGATACTAGTACAATTGCTAAGACTGTGTGGACCTATCAGTTCTCAGCACAAATGTCCCCATTTGGGACTCTTATGAAGGTGACTTGAAAATCCCTATTTCTGAACCAAACACCTCCATAGCTTCACTGGTATTAAGACTCTAAAGGTTCATCTTGGAGAAGAAAATAGGCCAGACAGGGAAAATCAACATTTTAACTGAAATAAATTTGATCATCCTGAGGCTCACCTGAACTGATTGAAACAATAAGAATAAGCTTCAATTAACTTGCAAAAATAACAAAGACGTCGGCTAAGCTTAGATCCACTTCTACCCTGAAGATGCAAACGATAAGCACGCTAAAATGAACTCAGAAACAAACTTCAGGTACACTTGAAAATAAATGGCAGAGTATACACAAGGCAGCATAGTGGGTCCTCTAAGCTGTTAGGATATAGCCAAGAGGTTGCCATATTTGTACGATGCACTTCATTAGTATACATATACATGAACAGCAATTTAAGAAGATAAGCAGAAACGCGTGAGAATTTCACAAAATAAACACTTCGAAGTTAAAAATCAAAGCCAATGCATTGAAAATCATCAACTCTTAAGCCTCGGCCTGATCTACAGCATGTTAGTTGTGTCAAATATGTGTCAACAAATAAGGTACCTGTGACACGATGTACAATCTATTCATCTTTGCCCATGTTCGTGTTCATATATCTACTATGACATATTGACATCATAGTTAATTTATATCTTCATGGCTCCAGAGAATCTATTAAGAGAATGTTATTTTGAGACTAAAGATACATGGTACATGTTTAATACAAGAACATCAGTTGTGTGCCAAATTTGTGTCCAACAAGGCACAGGCAGCACAAACTATTTATCTTTTACTATGTTCATGTTCCTATATCTACTCTAACATCATTGTTAATTTGTATGGCCCAGAAGAATCTTATTAATGTGTCAAAAATTGGAGTTTCATCTTAAAATGTCAACCTTATTAAAATGAGTAGTCCAAACCTTTATAAGTTAGTATATGTTTTCATTTTTGTTCGATGTGAGATTTTATTTTTATTTTTGTCCCAAACCCCCTCAAGATGGTGGCATGTTAAGAAATAAAATCACACATCTAATAAATATGAAAACATAAACAAATTTATAAGGGTTTTGACTACTTTTCTTAACAAAGTTAACATTTTAAGATGTAATCTCAAACATTAACATTATGAGATTAAAGACATACATTAAATGTTTGATACCCGAACCTCAGGTCCTCAGCTGCGTGTCAATTTTTTGTCAAAAAATAAGGCACAGGTGGAACAAAATATTCATCCTTTCCTATGTCTACTTCGAGATCATTGTTAATTTGTACATGTTCTACACTATAGTATTAATGTATTGTATAAGATTCAAAATTGTAACAGGTTTTCGAACCAGGGTCGAGCAGAATGAAGCAAACGTAACTGGTGATATTAACCCGAACATCAAAATTTTCCAAACATTTTGAACTCTAAGATCATCAAGATCAAAACAATATTCATATAGCAGAAAAAGAGTAAACTTTACAAGAAAAGTTACATATAACTGGCCATTACTACACATCAAAATCTTCCAACCTGACAATGAAAATTCTATAACTATTTACTTATCATAAGTTATGCATATGCTCTTATCCGGATTCAAAAACCCAGTTTAGCATCCAATTTTCAGCATGAAAATCTAATAACCAGATAAAAAACAAGTACATTTAACTCGGAAAAATCTTCGAAGACGTTGCGTGCAAATACACTATGATATAATGTGGTACATATCAAAGCTGTAAGCCTGTAACATTCAAAATTCGATCTTTTCAGTACCAGAGGCCATGGGGCACCCGTTACACTCCAGTTTCACATTCAGAAATAGCCCTGAACTTGAGCCTAAAGGAATCCATGGTATCGGATCCGGGTGCATATGGGTTACTTCTTCAGCATGTCATCCATCTGCCCACTTGCTTGGTTTTCTGGATACTGGAACGAGAAGTAATTCGGATCCACCTGGATTGCGGAGCTCCAGATGTCTATACAGCGGCTGTAGAAGCCCAATTCTTGGCCCGTTTCGAACCCAATTTTCAGGCCCACCTGGCGGGCCTCTTCTTTTCACAAGACTAAACCGTCTACATAGCCCTCGTTGTAGGATACTTTGTAGCTGGTGGCTTCTATGTTGAGCGAGGTACGAATATGTCTTCACCGGAGTCCATATGTCCATGCGGTCGCGCTTCCGCCGCGGTTGGAATTGTGAAATGTCAGAGCCACCGTGTATATCCCGGCATGGCCCGTTTGAATATACGAGCCGTATTGGGCCTTACATACAAGTCTGTGACCTGGATCGGATGGGCTTTTAGGATTAGAGTTTTAGACTTTTAATGGGCTCCAGTCTTTTTAGTAGGAAGGGGAAATTTGGGCTTGGATCTCTATCCTTCCACCCTATAGGTCCCCAAACATCAAAAGTAACAAAGGACTA